ACACACACACACACACACACACACACACACACCTCCTTTTGTAAATCTATTCTGCAGAATTCAAGAGACCTGGCCAGCAGAAAACAGAGCAGAAAGCTACGAGCAAAGGAATGATCCAGCCTTAAACAGGGAGTTCCCGAACCTGGCTTGACTCGGGCCTCCTGGTGCAGCACGCGGGGTCTGACCTCTTCTTTTCATCGTCCTCCAAGAATTGAAGTTCCATTTCCTGTGTCCATGCCCTGCATCTCTGTTCATTCCCAAAGAGATATGTGCATATTTTTGGAGCCCTCATCTCCCTGTGTGCAGGGGAAAGATGGGGCTTTCTACTCCCGTGAAGAGCGACCGTGTCAGAAACTGACAGGAGCAGTTCTGCCTATGCGTCAGCATCCACCCCAGGGCAGTGAGTTGGCTTGAGTGGTCTGGTGTGCTCTTTTACAAATCGCCCCTCTTGGGCGGTTTATATTTAAATTTCTATCATTTGTCAGTGTTGAGAGCAGAATGGAGTACATGAAAACCTGTTTACTGCATCACCTTGATCCCATTACATCTTTAAGCCTGTTTTATTAGCATATAATCCACATGTCATGTAATTCAATAGTTCAATCATATCAAGAAGTGTACCATCATTCCCACAATCAGTTTTGGAACATTCCCTTCCTTCGTGTACTCCTTGTTATTAGCTTCCCATGCCTCGCCCCACCCCCTCCACCATCATACCCACAAGAAGTCATTCATCCAGTTACTATTTCTATAATTTTCCTATCTTGGATTTCAGATACAAAAAAACAAACACAAAAACTTAACAACAATAACAAAGTAAACAAAAATCTCAATGAAAAAGAAAGTAGAAAACATTGAGAACCAGAGCAAATTTTAAATGGGTCAAAAGGGAGATCAAATGATAAGGTGTTAAATTTTAACCTAAATACATCTGCAGTAGTCCAGTTAAAACAGGAAAAAATATAAGGGCTTAAGCAGAAAGCAAATGTTTTGAGGATGATGATGGCAACAAATGTACAAATGTGCTTGACACAATGGATGGATGTGTGGACTGTGATAAGAATTGTATGAGCCCCCAATATAATGATTAAAAAAAATACAGGAAAAAAATTAAATGGAGCTAGGTTGCTGCTGCAGAACACACCATTCTTAGTGGAAGAAATTCATGAATCAAAAGGCCATTGTTATCGGCTCAGCTCTGGCAGTGTTACTGTGGTACACTAATCACCCGGAATTCAAAATCAGATTACATTGTGCAATCCAAGTATCTCCAATACGCTGCTTCAGTGCTCTTGAGTGTGTTCGTCTTCCCACCAAGAGTTCTCTTATGTCAATAAACATG